ACCCAGATGTGCCATGCTTTCCGACTTGTAAATGGGCCACAGTCTGCACCCTGTCATACCCCCATGGGGCTGTGGTGAGGCGGGGAGGAAAGTGCCAAGGCAAGGAAAATGCTCCCAAACGCCACCGTCTGCAGTTTCTGAACTCTTGCAGCTGCCAGCTCTGTGGCTCCCAGCCTGGGGGGTGGGGGGGGCCGCCTCTAGGGCTGGGACAGGTAGAGAAGAGAGCCATTGAGGGGAAGAAGGCCAAGGTGGCCCAGGTTTCAGGATCCCCCAGCTGCAGGGTGTTTGAGGCAGCTCCGAATCAGCTCAGGGAAGCCTGGGGAGAGGCGGCCCCAGTGGGAAAGCTGGTGCCAGGGTCCATGGGAGCATTTGCTGCTGGGTTAGGGCTCTGCAGCAAGAAAATTCCTGACCCATCAGAGCCTGGCATGGGCTAGGCACAGGGCCCTCCCATATGCACTGGAAGGGGAGCTATGGGGGCTCAGTCTGGGTGGGGGGCGCGAGCCAACCGGTTGGCTCCCTCCTGGCTCCCCCAGGATTGTCCTTTTCCTCTACAACTCTTTACCTGCTCTCTGCCGCCCACCTCAGTAGAGTGCCCTGTGCCAAGAAGCAGCCCCAGAGCTGTCAGCAGGAAGTAAGAGGCTGAGGAAGCAGGTGAGAAAAAACTGGAGCAGGACAGAGAGCCACTGGAGAGCTGGCAGCGTTGGCAGGCAGAGCGATGCCAGAAGGAGCCAGAACGCCAGGTCAGCACTTCTCTGCCTGCTGCCAGGCGGGCCATAGCCACACCACCCGTGGCCCCTGCTCCAGCCCAGCTCCCACTTCCCCAGGCTCACCCTGCCCACCCTTCCCAGAGGGGAGGCATTGCCAGAGGAGCTCCCGGAACAGGAGTCAGAAGCCCCAGCCCTGCCCAGCCAGCTGCATGACTCTGGTTTCCACTGGGCCGAGGTGGTGGGGAAACACGTGCTCATTGATGAAAGTATCTGGAATCGCTCAACTGCCATCGGAAAGGAAAGAAACAGCACATCCTAGGAGTGAAAATGGTCAATGAGGGAATTCCAATCTGACTTCTAAAAAAAGGGGGTGAATCTGTGCCCACTGCCGTTCTCACTGCCTCCATCCTCCAGCCAGACCTCCCAGCCATGCAGGGATCTAAAAGGAGGATCAGAGAGGGTCCAGGACTTGCCCAGGAACACACAGTGGGTCCACAGAGCCAGGATTCCATCTCTCATCCTCACCATCCAGGAAGCACAGTGGTTCCAACAGACTGGATCTCAGAACCAAATCTCAGGCATGAGAAATACGTGTTACATTCTCACTGGCAAACTTTCCAGGTCCAAGTTGCTCATGACTACAAATTAACAATGTCCTCGAGGTGAGGATTCAAAGCACGGAAGATTCTTGACTGGAAGTGCACGGTTACCTCCTTCCGTGGGGTACATCTCACGTCCCGATGCGAAACTTGGATGGGCACCCGACACATTCCAGGGAACTCTCGTTTCTGCATTAACCTACGTGCTGCCCTTGGCAGTGCCCACTCAGGTCCCAGTTAGTGCCGGCGCTATTCCTGAGCACACACTGATTCTGTTCCGGGCAGCTCTGCCTACAGCACCTTCTCGGAAAGCTCTGAGTGCGGCTGAGTCACTGCGAGTTCACGGAAAGGGAGTGGGATGGGGTTACTGCAACTCAAGCCCAACAACAGGGAAGGGGGTTCAGCGAGGCTGGGCCCTGGGAATACCCAGCGAATGGTGGCTCCAGCCTCCAGGCCTGGACTCCCTCTCCCTGCCACGTCACCAACTCATTAGACACCCAGATGAGCCCCATCCTGTGCAGAGGTCCTATATCTACCGCCACGTCACTGCCGCCCCCATATCCTGGGCACCTGCTATAAGCTAAACACGGGGGAAGGACCGAGAACAACACCCCCGGTAGCTGCCCCACATAGGTTCCATCTACTGAACTTGGCCCTGACCAAGAGGGACAACAGGAACACAGAGGAACATCTCATCACTGAGCCCGGGACCTGGACTCTGCAACAGTTGCTCCATTTACTCTGCTGTCCCCGGGAGACCACTGGCAGGAGGTGCCTGTCAATCCCCTGGTCACACCCGGCCCCAGCCCCCAGCCCCTCCTAGAGTTCGGCTCTCCAAGCCTCTGCATTTTCACATAAAAAGTGATGGCTCAGGAGACTGACAGAGATACATTTTGCAGCCTTCTGGGGGTGACGGATGGCCTGCTCTTCACATCACCATTTCAAACATTAACATAATCTCCAAGGATGAATGTGGCTGCTTGGTCTAATCAATCACCCCTCCCGCCCTTGATCCCTCATCTCGCCAAACGCAGGCTTTCAACTCATCTTGCCAAAGAGCGCTTTGGGCGGGCGGCACTGCCCCCGGGGTTGTGTGGCCTGGCCACCCCGCTCACCGCAGACAGTCCCTCTGCTCCTGTGCACAGCTGCATTGGCTGGACCCTCCCGGGCCTGGACTCCCGCCCCAGACGCTGCCTCAAACACCGACCTCACCCACCTGACAACCTGCAAGGCCTGAAGCAAGGGCCGGCTGGGTACCACTCTGCACAGTGACCTCAGGAAGAACAGGCCAAGACTCAGAGGAGTCGCTGTTTTTCTAGTTACTCCCCACCTGCCCCCGAGGGTCCAGACACACGTGCTTCACCACACCAGGTCCTCAACAACGTCCACCAAACCGTCCTCACTCCTGATTTCCCCTGTGGAAAAGGATCTGGGAAGGGAAAGCACCTGGCAGCAGGCTTACCTCCCGGAGCTGCTGCACGCCCCCGAAGATCCTCATCACGCCGTCGATCTCCTGCTCCAGGCGCCGTGCCCAGTGCTGCACCCTGCGTGCAGAGAGGAGAGAGGTCAGGAGTGCCCGCCTGGTGCTTGGAACAGCCCAGCCCAGCACCCAGGGGTGCCCAGCAGCAGCCACCCCTTCAAACACTATAGTGCACCCGTGATTCCTTTGAAATCCAGACCCGGAGACCCAGGCACTGTCGAGCAGCCAGGGAGGAGCGCGGACTGGAGTTTAAACGCACGGAGGGAGCCCAGCAGCTATAGGAACCTGCGGGAAGACTATTTTCCTGGTGAGGAGCCAGCCCTTGCTGCTGCTGCTGCTCTGAATCTGGGGACTCTGGACACCTGGGAGGAGGGAGATGGAAGGGGGCCAGGGGGTGCTGCTGGATCCCAGAGCCTCCTATCCCCAAGGCTCAGTGGGGTCTGGGGAAGGAAAGGGAACACGAGTGGCTGCTGCCACTACCACCAAGTCACTGTGTGACCCGGGCAGGCACTGGCCCCTTTGGGCCTCTTCAGAGCGGTGGACACGGAGATCTCCCAACTCAGGCGGCCCCTACCTTTCCAGTGCCCTGGTAGACAGATGCTTATCTGAGGCCCTTGCTAGGTGTCCCATAGGAACCACCCACCCGCACATTCAGTTCAGACCATCCTGCCCCTTTCTGGGGACCCGGCAAGCCCCGAGAGTCCTGCACCTGAGCCACCAGCCTGAACAGGCCTCCTTCTCACTGGTGCCACCTCAGAAGGTATGAGAAGGACACGTGAGAACAGGTCAAGGATGCTGCCCAGGGATCCTTGGAGTGGACAGGATGGGCAGGCAGTCACACGGCTCTGTATTCTCAGCTCAAACCCAGGAACAGGGGCGGTGCCTGAGGAGAGGCCTGGCCCAGGTTCTAACCCGGGACCCTTCTTCAGGCAGTGCCAGATCAGGTGAGCAAAGGGGCTGGCCAGAGAGACACGGTCCACACTGCCCAAGGCGCTTCCTTCGTGACCAGGGCCCCTTGTTCTAATGCATCTGAAAAGGCCTCTCACCCGCCCCATCCCACAGACACAGAATGAGGCCCTTCCAGCGAGGGCTCACACAATTACCACGAAGGTTTAAATATGCCACAGGTCAAGCACACCCCACAGGGCAAGGGAGGGGTGGGGGGAGCTAGCCCCCAGCCTCTGGCCCCAACACCTGCCCTGGGCCTGCTACCTCCCTGCCTCCCCCAGTGCCACATGGTGCCAGGACTCTTCTAGCTTGGTGGGTCAGAAGAGCTTGCCCCTGCTCCACACCCCTCCTCAGGCCTGTGGCTGGGGGGCTGCATCCATGCCATTGTGTATGCCTGGGTTGGTTGGCATGGGAACTCAGAGCAGGAGGCGGGCAGATCACTAATTGCAATTTGCCAAGCTGAATGTCAGGACCGAGATGAAAAAAAAAAATCAACATCAAAAGAAAGAGGTATTAGCTTTGGCTTGTTGCTGGTTGAGCCACAGCCTGATGTCCACCTCCACTCCCCACCCAGGGGAAAGCTAACCCACTCCTCACTGCAGGGGAAAGCTAACCCTGCAGAGGGCAGGCTGCAGGCCAGGCACAAGGGCAATCAGGCTGCCCGCTGGGGGAGGGCAAAGCCCGGTGAAGAATGAAGAGCCTGCTTGGCCCTGGTTCCTGTCTACCAGGCACTGATCGCTTGGCCCTGGCTGTGGGTGGACAGTGTGACAGGTGGCTGTTTTGTGTTCCTGAACCGGAGCCTGGGGGCCTAATGTTGAGATGGGCCGCTGCACAGTCCTGTGTCCAACCAGGCAGGTGACCCATGAATGGGTGAGGTCAAGGAGATGATCTCCAAGGGGAACAATTAGTCCTGCCCTGGCCCTGACCCTGAACCTCAGCCATTCACTGGTCTAGGGGACAGAATGCCAATCATTATCCTTCCTGGGGCTATCAGGTACAGGGACACCCGCTATGTATGTCCAAGGTGCGGTACTGGCTTTCTTGCTCCAATCCTCACAAAGAAGCAAACACCATCTTCCTGAATTTACTCATGAGGAAACTGAGGCACAGAGGTGTTAAGTGACCTGCCCAAGGTCACCCAGCCAGGAAGTGGTGAACCCAGAGCTTCACCCAGGGGTGAGCCGGAGTCGGCGAGAGCCGACGGTGTGCGTGTCTTCCCAGCTATGCATTCGGCGGCGTCACCTTGGGAGTGAAATCGGCCATCGTGGGAATATTTATAAATCGGCAAATGCTGCCAATCACAGTTTTCCTTTTCCCCCTGGAGGGCAAATTGTAAACATTTACCAGCACGGCACTGATGCAATCCTAGGCTGTTGACTCTTTTTTTTAGTGTATCTATAGGTCTTCAGTTCTAGGAATTCACAGATATGTGAAGAACAGGCATGGATGCCAAGTTTTTATTTTGCTCAGACAACACATTATTATTATTATTACCATTATTATCATCACCATCATTTCATCAAAAAAGGTGATTTCAACCCTAAAAGTTTTTTTAGAAGAGCCAAATCTCAGGATAAAGTCCAATTCTGACCCAAAACACACACTCACTTTCCCACACACACACTCTCTCCCTCCCCGCCTCCCAACACACATGTGCGCGCGCGTGCACACACACACACACACACACACACAGTCTCCCCATGCCCACCCCCAGGCTGAGCAGCTCTACACTCTGCTATGGGCTGCAGGGACTGGCCCACCATGACACCCCCCCACCCGGAGTCTAGGGGTGGCTCCAGTCCTTGGTCTGGCGTACTGGGCCTGATGGGTAGACCCCAGACCCCAGCTGCACTGCCCATCACCTCAATGCAGGGCACACAAGTTATCCGATTACTCACCTACACCCAACCCAATTAGGAAAGCAATACATGTGCCGAGGCGTTTAAAAGAACATGACAGATCATTCATTTTATCTTCACAGAGATGTGACTTTGTGGGTTCCAGGTTTTGGCTGGTGTCCCAGGACTGGCTCCAAGGGGTGACATATGGGACGGAGGAGGCCAGGAGTCACCTATACACCTGCAGCGTCCTGCCCCAAAGCTGGAGAAACCACCCACCAAACTGAGACTAAACCTGGCAAGGCACGGTCGTCCTCACCCCAGAAGGGCATGAGGACTCTGGAAGGATCCACAGCCCCACTGGGTCAAAGGCAAAAGGACCAAATCCCACCTGAGCTTCCAACAGCGTGGGCCCAGGTGCCTGGCTCTGCCAGTGCCTCCCTGGTCAGGCAGTGTGGCCCACGGGCCGCCCTCCCAATGGCCTAGACCCACCTGCTGGCTCCTTGCATCCATGATTTTCCAGTTCTTCATTGAGATGACAATGCTTATCTGAAAGTGTCGCTAAGTGCCAAATTAGCAAGACAGCGAGGAGAGAGTGTATCTGGGAGGAGGCACGTGCAGCCACTGGCTGCAGCTGGCATGGTGACTGCTGTGGGCACGAGAGGCCGGGGACAGGGCCAAGCACCACCGTGTCCTCCAAGGTGCCTGAATCTAGGAGGGTCAGGCACTGCACCTCCATTTCACAAATACAAAAACTGAGGCCACCGGCAAGGCTGGGTGCTGGGCCATATACTGTAGAGAAGCCAGACCTGTCCGGGTTCCCTTAGAGCCATGGCCCACCCTTCCAGGATTACGAGCCTCTAGGGAGCTGCCTCTGCCAGCTGCGTGACCTTGGAGAGTTCTGCCCCCTGGATCCTCAGCTCTCCTGTTTGTGAATGGGGCTAGTACTGAGTGGCTCACTAATGGCCGAATCCACAAGGCAACCTTGATGGGCAGTACTATTACTGGGCAGTCCCCTGAGGGTTAGAAGCTCATCCAATCCAGCCCCGTCCCATGTCCCCAGCACTCAGGAAATCTCCCAGGAATGCCTGCGCTTGGGGGAGGAGATGCAGAGGGAGGGTGCTGTGGAAAGGAGTCCCCAGTGGCCCCCTTCAACCCTCTGCTCCCTCGCAGAGGGGCCAGGAATGGGCACCGGGCACCAGGCAAAGGTGCATGTGGCTCAGGACTGGCAGGGGGAGGGCAGCCCAGTGGGAAGCGGACACCAGGAGCTGTGGGACTCAGGCCTTCGTCTCCAAGGCAAGGTCAGACCCAAAATGTGAGGGAAGAGGGGGTGTCATCATCAGGCAAGGTGTGGGATGGGGATCTGGGACTGAGGGCCCCCTTTAGCAGGCAGAACCACAGTGACCCCAGCTGGAAGGCGGGGGAGGCCCCTGGTCAAACTACAGAGCACTCAGGTGGGGGCCTTGGGCTCCAAGGCCAGTTGCACACCATCCCCCCTCCGCCAGAGGGGAGGGAGGCAAAGCCAGGAGGAGGGAAGGGAGGGAGGCAAGGCCAGGAGAAGGGGTGGGAGGAG